CGTCTGCGGCACGGCACGGACTGCGAGCCGCGCTCGGCTCTGCGGTCCTGAGCCTGCTTCTGTCTCCCATAGGGCGAGCTGCCACTCAACGCCATCCAAGTGCTGTTTGAAGAGAACGAGAAAACCTCCTTTTTAATAGAAGGTGCGTGTCCGGCGTGCCGAGGGGTGGGCTGGCAGCAGCCCCAGAGGTCTCTGGGGTGAGGCTGGTTTGGTGAAGCTGCTGTGGCCGTCTTCCCGGCTGTGATGGCCCCCGTCCTGCGTTCAGCCTGGTGCCAACGGTCGGCACCGAGAGCAGAGCGTTGCCGTCGTCCCTGCGCCGGTGTCAGGGTCTCCAGACCCCAGGGGAACGCGGGGAGGGATGGAGCAAGGGGATTCGCGTGGGTTTCTGAAGGAAGCAGCACAGGCTCTAGGTCAAAGCCAGCAACAGCAGCGAGGGATGTTTTTACAGGCCGGCTGATCAACTCGATCCGGGTGATCTGCCGCAGCTACGATGATTACCGGGACTGGCTCTACTGTCTCAAAACAGCCCAGTTTCGAAACGCCGACTCCTCCCTCTCCGGATCAGAGAGTTTCTCGGGATCAAAGCTGCCACAACCCGGCCAGGTAACAGAAGTCGTGGGTTTGCGTGGTAATCCATAGACGTTTCGCAGGACTCCCATCCGTCCCGTCTCTGGCCGTGCGTGAGTGCTCCTGTGGCACAGCAGGCTGGCATCAGGCCGCTGTTCGGAGGCTGGCATGAAGCTGCTGATCCCCGCAAATTATTTTGAAGCCCTATAGGCATATGTCATATTAAATTCCTTCGAAAGCAGACCCCTGGCCGCAGACTGTGACGGTGCTGTGCAGTGAGGCATTGGCACAAGGATGTTAACAGGGTCTTGCAAGGAAGGAGAGACCCACCCTGCCAGCACTGCAGCCGGATGGGGTCAGGGTGCCTGAGCACCCATCTCCTCACTGAGCCTTCGTCATTTGCCCCCGTCACCCCTGCAAGCCGCACTCAGCCGCCTTCTGAGCCCTCGAGGGCAGCAGACTGTGCCGAACCGGGAATGGCTGACCCGGGCAGCGGAT